AGCCGTTTCTCAGGCTCCCTCTCCGGAATCGAACCCTAATTCCCCGTTACCCGTTGCCACCATGGTAGGCCACTATCCTACCATCGAAAGTTGATAGGGCAGAAATTTGAATGAACCATCGCCAGCGCAAGGCCATGCGATTCGACAAGTTATTATGAATCACCAAAGAGCCCCGAAGGGCATTGGTTTTTTATCTAATAAATACACCCCTTCCGAAGTCGAGGTTTTTAGCATGTATTAGCTCTAGAATTACCACGGGTATCCATGTAGTAAGGTACTATCAAATAAACGATAACTGATTTAATGAGCCATTCGCAGTTTCACCGTACAAATTGCTTATACTTAGACATGCATGGCTTAATCTTTGAGACAAGCATATGACTACTGGCAGAATCAACCAGGTAACTACCGTCTGCACCGCCATCGCGGAGCCGAAGCCCTGCGCGGCGACGCCCGAACCCGGTCAAACCGGGCTGGAAGCAGTTCAACTAGAAGGAGCTCTCTCACGAGTAGCTCGCCCGGGGCAGACAGCGCAGCGCACCGCGCCACTGCTCCGAGCATTCAATTGCCCCCACTGGATTTCTTAAACAACCTTCCGCTGCAGAATCAGACTTACGCCCCGGAAGGAGCGCGCGTCCGCCTGCAACATGAGCTGCCCAAGAGAAGGGCCAGAACCTTGAACACATAGCTAGAACTACGGATCTCAAAGCTCACCTCCCTTCAAGAACATTTAACCAATTGCGAGCCAGCGGCCAACAATGGGTAAACTTCTCCCTCGCCTAAAGGATAAAGACCTTTTGGGCTTCGGGTGCTTTTGGTAATCTTTATAGCAAAAGCATTTCACGCCTTCGGTCGGTGAAGCGGCAACCTGAGTTGGACGGCTCAACTACCGAGAAAGCATGTGCCAGCTATGAAAGCTATCTGCAGCGCAAAGGCACAAAGAAGTTAATCGGCCAGAGGCAGCCAGGCCCACACGCTGCATCAGATATATCATCCGACCAGCTTGCCGACCCAACTCACCTCCTGCCTACATATACTCTCCGGACGCTTGTCCGCGTTGAATTGAAGGTCTATCGATGGAACTACCGCAAAGTTATTGAAGATGCACATAATTTGTATGAGTTTGGTAAAACTGGGCCAAACTATAGGCAAAAATGAGCCGTCCGAGAACGTGATTTAAGGCAACAACGGGGACTTAAACAACGTCGTCGGAAGAAGAATATCTTGCGCCCACTCTCCGAACCAGTGCGCGGTGACCTCCGGACGTGGCGCGTGCCCCCGGACCAGTGCGCGGTGACCCCCGGACCAGGCGCGCGTGCCCTCTGGAGTAGATGCGCGATGACCCCCGGGCCAGTGCGCGGTAACCCCCGGACGTGGCGCGCGTGCC